CAGTTACACACAGTGGCTCCTAGGAAACAACTACAAAGCAATCAACACAGCAGATAGGAATGGGAAAGGGGCGAGCAGAGGAGGGTCAGAGCCACAAAATCTGATGGAAGACATTGAACCACGACGAGAGCCCAGCTCTGTCAACAGCTGCTGTGATTGTGCCAGGAGATCAAACATCTGAGAAAGCCATTGTGGGGACTGCTGGGAGCACAGTGGTCACTGCAGCCACACCCCAACAGCAGTGCATCAGAGCACACAGACCCTGAAACTTTCCTCTCCACTAATTCTTGTTTTAAGATGATGACTATCCTCATGTTACAATGTCTCCTTCCAACCCTTGTGGACGAGTGTCATCAGAACCCCCTGAAGAGGGCACAGGCCAGGTTAGGATGGAACACCGGGGGATGGGGAGTGGCGCTGCACCTGACCACAAGGACTATCACCAGGGCCTATTGAACACGAGAGAAGAACCCGAGGATGTGGTCTAATGAGAATTCCCTGCCTTGCCACATTCCGAGTCACCACAGAGTTTCTTGTCCATTCTTTACAAAAATGTTAAAGAATTCATGTGTCATTAATTCATAAAGAGGCAAATTCTTCACATAATGACGGGGTCCATTTCCATGGCTAGGTTTTTCAGTTGTTTTGATAATATCCCACATTCAGGAATCAGAAATGTAACCTATTGGGATGTGTAATATAAACAAGGACTTTTTTTCATGTAGATCAATGCCCAGATTTTTAGGGAGGACATAAGTCATGAAAGTTGCTAACCCTTCCTCCACAGGTTTCAATAAAACTTTTAAGTTAATTTACCAATCTCAGGAAAAGAGAATTTGGCAATTCAAATTTTTTGTTTCTGCATTCAAGCGTACAGTACAGCCAAGAGAGTGAGCAGAAAAAAATTAACAAGAAGATCTTGCTTGCATTTCATCTTTTGCAAATAAGAAGGATATTTTATGCTCTGTTCCTTTCACTATTCTAATCAATTTTTAAAGAATACGGTACGTCTGACTATCCCTGGGTGTGTTTATCCAGGAACTTTGCCGGAATCCAAAGCAGAGATGTTAAAGCTGACGGGTTTCAAATGCTGCCCAAGTGCTGTCTACCTTACACATCCCTCTCCCAAAGGTGGACCACCGGTCTCTTCCTGAGGAATCAGAGTCATCACCTGTGTCCCTGAGAGACTGGCCACTCAGGCCTGAACTGAGATTAGGCGATCAATCTAAAGGGCAAAATGCTTAAGCTATTTTCATCTTAAGGATGCTGTTTCAGAGGCCTCTGCACTGGAATGTGTTGGTGAAAACGGCCTACTAGATACTTGCCTGGGAATTGGGTTGCTGTCCTCCACTCTTAGCAGATCCTGGGGAAACCAATGATTAACCTCAAGGATGCCTCAACTTCCACATCGGCCAAAAAGGCAAGCAACAGCCACTGTTACCACCCTGCAAAGCTCTTAAGTTGTGCTTGCAAGAGCCGCCACAAGGGGGAATTTCTCCCAAAAGCTGCTGAAATGATGGCACTTTGGCTGGAGAAGGCAGAGGGCAGCAGGCAAAGTGGAAAGTTTCTGTGATGTCAAACCAGTTCCCATAAGCATTTTTAGAGAAGAACCTGGCCCTGGGCTAGGTAGGAGGCTGTGGAAAGACCCACAGGGATGCAGGTCGGAGGAGGAATCAAGCCACGGAGGGAGGCAGTGTGGAAGAGGGGCAAGTCCTGCCTCAATTTTGGACAAAAGCAGTTGCACGCTGCAGGCTCTCAGCTGCCCATGCAGCAGCCACACCCTCCTAACTCCCTGGTCCCGCTCGTCCTGTCACATCCCTCCGGGACTCAGTCCACGTGCAGCGGGTGCAGGACGAGTATTCGCAGCCAATGGCGGTTTGGCCCTTGGCCAAGCGCACACCACCCTGTTCCTCTCCCCCAGGGCTTGGCACCGCCCCGTGCCCAGAGCATCCTGGGAGTTGTAGTACTGTAGCCCTGCAGGCTGACGGCTGGCAGCGGTTAAGAGACAAAAGCTCCCAGCATGCACGGCTAGGGGCCCCAACTCCTGCCTTGTCCCTCCACCCCTGGGCCCCAGTCCTCTTCTTCTTGACCCCACCCACTACCCTGCCTATTCTCTATACCACACCCACCCTCCATGCCCTGCACACTCCCCAGAGTATGCACAGTGAGGTTGGACTGCATCCCTTGAGTCCAGTACTCAGGTAGGGGTGGGGCTCACCAGACTAGCTGTTGCTGAGGATGCTTGCAGCCCTCGTGGAAGCTCCCTGGTCACTATTTTAAATGTAAATTAGATATCTAAAATGGAAATACCGGGTGACTGGGATCCTGGAATTTGCTTTTTCAAGGCCACCTGTCCTACCATCCCCTCCATCCCTCCAGGCTGCCATGATCCTCCCTCTGGACCCCGTTGTCAGGGTCACTGCAGAGATCATCCCTTTGGACCCCGCCTGCCTGAAGGGCCCATACCTTGGTCAGGCATCTTAGAAGGACTGCCCTGAGCCATGTCATAAAAAGGAGAAAACATCACATTGGACAGCCCCAATTCCTACATATACAGATGGGAAACTCAGGTGCACTGGTAAGTGACCCCTAAGCCACTTCAGGGGACCACATGCTCTCCCCTTCTCCAACGCTGCACACAGGCTTGTTCACTGGACTTCCTTATCCCAGTGTGGACCTCTTGGCCTCGTTAACACAGGCAACAGCACTGAAACTTCCTGTTCGTCCTTCCCACAATGTTAGGCAAGTTTGTCTAGGAACGTAATATGCAATTTCTGCTCTACTATAGGGCTGGCTCCTGGGAACCAGTTTTAATATCGCTTTTTAAATATACCCTGAGAATCACAAAATAATGAAGCAAAATAATTTGTTGCTGTGGGAGGTTATGGTGATAACTCTCTGAAGTCATTTTTCCATTTAGCTTCTCTGATTGACTCCAAATACTGCAGCACCACACGCTTCTCTGACTGGTGGATGCACAGCTCCACTTCTTTGCAGGGAGGATGCACAACAGCAGGATATCCATGGCCCGACTTTCTGGAGCATCAGTATTACTACAAGATTTAGAAGAAGCAAAGTTAGGTCATTTCCAAGGTAAGGAATTAAAAACTTAAAACTAAGATGAGGTGGGAAAGTCATATGCCATTAATAATTGTCAGTAATCTGTGCCTGAAATGTCAGACTTTCTCTGAGAATGAACTCTGAGACCCTATTTCCCATTGTTTTAAATAGGAAAAATTAGAAGTCATAGCAAATCTATAGAAAAACGCTATCAATTTCCTAAGTCACGATATGGCACCTAGACATAAGTTATGAACATCATGTGCTCCTCATTTTGTTCCTCATTCAACCCAGTCCCACGGGTCTTGAGTGCATGCTGTGAACACGGCACCATGCTAGGTGTCGAGGCCTTGGTGAGTATCATCATGGGGGTGGGCTTTGCTGGAAAAAGATTGCATCATAAAAACTCAAAGCCATGCCACTTGCCAAACTGAGGCAAAAATGGAAAGACCCATAGGGCCACACAAGGGTGAGGGCATTAATAGATACTTGGGAGTAGGAAAATCCATCTGATGGTGTCATGAGTGAACGTGTTCCACTTGAAAACAAAACACTGCTGTTATTCTGAGATAATGAGTTAGTATCTTTGTGCAAATATGCAGGATTTAAAATGTTTATTGATGTATAACGTGCGTACAGAAATATATGCAGAAGTCATCCATGTAAACCTCAAAGAATTATTACAAAGTGAACACACTTGTGTGACTAAGAACTAGCACCAGCTTCATCACACCCCGACAATCCCTTTCTCCCTCCTTCCTCCCCAAAGATAACCAGTATCTTACCAGTGAACACTGTATATCAAGTTTGTCTTCTTACACAAGTATTTTATTACAGAACAATTTAAACAATATACAAAATAAACAAAATAGCATAGTAGGCCCGTCACCCAGCTTCAACAACTACTAATCATCTGCCATTTTTGTTTCTCCATGCTCCATCCCATTCCCACCTCACTTTGTTATTCTTTTAGCCCTTTGTCTGTGTGTGTGTAGGGT